TAGTGAAGGGCAGCAGCGGCCAAGAAAGAGGATGTGGTGGTATGCCACCACAAAGGCTGTACTGAGCTCCCAGGTGCTGCTGTGCACAGCACTGGGGGACAAGGCTTCCCTAGGTGCAGGGCACAGGAAGGGCTACATGCCATAAGGTGCTGGACATAGCTCATCCATGAGAACTAGCTCTCTCCTGCCACACCACTGTCAGGGCCATATCACACAGTACTGCTCTGAGTCAGTTTTGCAATCAAAACCTCAGGGAAATGCTAACTTACCAAAGCCATGTTTAAATCCTCTGCTTGCTCCTGTAGCCATTGCTTCCAAATGTCTCACATCTTTGCTCTGATGGGTGTACACACCTTTCCTCATTCATATGCACACGTGCACCACCACCTGCCTGTACCCACACTCATGCAGCCTTCTGCTGAAAGGGCTTTGAATGTTTGGAGGTTCCATTTATTGCCCAAGATGTTTCTATGGTGACTCCCTTCACAGCCCATCATTGGTTGCAGGAAGCTTCTGGCCATCAACAGCTTCAGGGGAGTTGGAGGCCTCAAGCTTCAAGTGACCTGTAGTTTTTCATGTCACCAGCTACACTGAATTAGGAAGAGATTAAGAAAAACTCACCTGAAGTGGCAATGGTGAATGAGGCAATATCAGCAAGTAAAGAGGAATGATCCCGAGTGCTTCCCCCGGTGTTCTCTGCGGTACTGTAGCAGGGACTTGGGGTATCTGCAAAGTAGTGCTGAACAAACAGCTCTGCTTTCATGATTTCCTGGAAGGACTTCCCAGTCAGCAAGGCTCACACAGCTGCTGTAGCCAGAGCACAGGACCACTTCACCTTGTGCAATGGCTGCCCCTAGCACACTGCTCTCTAAGCCAGGGCCAGGATGCTTGGTGAGCAGTTCACTAAGTGCTTCTATAGGGAAGCCTGTGGATCCACAGCTGCTGCTGATAAACACTAGGCCCAGCATCACCACAGCTTCCATCATCAGCCAGGCAGGGCCAAATTCAGCACTGATAGCAGAGTTAGTAGGCACTTTGCCCAGAGCCTCAGTCCTGCAGTGTGTGAGCTAAGGCACAGCTCTCACAGTGGACTGAAATTAGGAAGTGTAGCACTGAGCAGAGTCAAAACTCAATGGGCTCCATTGGGCGTATTTTTCCAGGCTCCCTGATGGTACTGCCAGAGTCAGAAGAAAGGAAATGAGTAAAAAGCAGGGCAGCAGACTGGAGCACAAAAAGAAGGCAAGCGCAGATTTCCCACAGACAAGAGGAGGGGGCAGACAAAAGAAGAGGGCAAGACTGTGAATCCAGAAAAGTGCTGAGAAATGTCATGAGGTTGCAGTGAGTATTAGAACCTTCCCTTGTGTTTAGTGAGCTATCCTGAGACAGAGCACTTCGCAGAAGGGAGAACTTTCTGAAAAGCACCTTGATTCTCAGCACTGCTTGTAGGTTTATCAGCAGTGAATGATTCAGTTCAAACCTGGCCCTTGGGCTGGAGCACAAATGGACCAGCTTTGAGGTGCTGCCTTTCCTACACCCAAGGGAACAATTACCCTCACCCTCTAGAAGAACAATGCAGGGGCTTCACCTTAGCAGGGCCTGTCCTCCACCTTTTGGTCAAAAGGCCATATAGGACCTTCAGAACTGCTCTGCAGTGGTACGAGCAGACCCCTCCACAGGTCTCTAATGCAGAAACTAACTCACAAACAAATGCAACTGCAGACACAGGTGCCCCGCAGGGCTGAACAGGTAGTGGGCACCTAACCCATGTGAGGTGAATGGGAGACTCCCAGTTCAAACCCTGAAATGAGCTCCCCACATACCAGGTCTGCTTGGGAGCAGGGAAGGCTGATAGGCAGCAATTTGTTGCCCAAACCCAGCCATAAAGACCCAGCTTTTCTGCTGGGGTGGAGCAGGGACTGTGCTTCTCAAGCAATATGGTTCAAGGGACTTGCAGGCATGAGCTAGAGCATCCAAATCCAAGGAGTAGAGCCCTGCACCCTCACCTGCAGCCCAGAGCACAGCTGCACACAGACATCCACAGACAAGGTGGAGTGGGGAGAGCTGGAGGGCAAAGAGCTGGCAGGTGCCAAGGGTGCAGGGCAGGATGCTCTCAGGGCCACAAATTGTTCAAGGCAAAGCTGGTTACATCTCTCTCCACCAGCCACCCTTCCCTGCAATGTCATGAATAAACCGGTGGTAGAGACAAAAGAGATGCAGTGAACAGCAAGATGTCCACCTACCTCAGGCTTGGTGGAACTCACACCTACCTCATCCTTAAGCATAATTTTTCAAAACACCAGATCACTCAAAATGGCCTGTGCCTCAGGATACGGATGAACTTACCTGCAGAGAGTGTCACTGCTTGTAAACCCAAACAGTTGCATAACCACATGGTTAAAAGATAATGACACACATTCATACATGGTTGTATTCCTATGTACAAATACTGTTCAGTGACATGGTGTTGGAAGAACAAAAGTATAACCACACTGTTTCTTCTTCAATCTGTTTTTCTTTACTTTTCAAACCTGGGCTTTCAAAATATAAAAAGAATTATTTGAAAAATATGTAATTATACCTTAAAGGAATAACAGCAGATCAAATCCCACCAAATCCAGTTTTGTTTCAAAGCTTCCATCATCAATCTAATCCTTCTAATGAAATACAGTCCATGGGTAGAAAATCGGGTTTCAAACAGGCATTACCCCCCCCCCCCAGTATTTGCAACCAGATTTTACTACTATGGGCTAGTGATTAGGAGCACAAAGGCAAAATTTGCTCAGAGAAAAGCCTGCTAGTTTAATATGACCCTATTCTGAGAATCCTTACACATCAACAAGGACCTATGGATTTTTCAAATATGGTATTGCATTTTAAATCACGAAAATATCACATTATCAGACACAGAGCTAGGAAAACCAGGATTTTAACAGTTCAACAGTTACTTTTAAGCCACTGACAGCCTTCTCTCTTTTTTTTTTTTTTTCCCGGAGACCTGCTGGCTTCTTTTAAAAAGAGTTTTCAAATTGACCTTGTTTCAGTGGCCACTTCTCTGCCCCAGGTATGAAATCATCGTATCACATTATAAACTGTCAATGCACCAAAAAGCAAAGGGCATTTATTTCCAGGCAGGAACAGAGCTGTCTCTTCTGCCTACGAAACAGCGCACTCTTTTTCTCTCATAAGCCCCTCCAATTTCAACATTACTATTCAGCAGTCAGCATTTCATACAGAGACCAAGCCTCCCTTGCTCTGACCTCCACCTCACTGAGGCAGAGATGTACGTGATACAAAAGTCAGTACAGAATTGGGCCAGCTTATTCAGATTTCAGTGGGCAATACCCTGTGCTATGCTCAGGGTCCTGTCAACATTGTTATGGACTTCATCAATGAGCATCAGAACTAACCTTTGGCCTTGTTACACAAACACAGCATCAGTATAGGAAAATGGTTTCAGATTCTTGTTTCCATTTCTCCCTGCTATGTGATATCCAAACCCAGAGAAGCGATTTATTTTCAGCATCCAAAAACTGATGTGCCAGGATCAAGATCTCAAACCCTGACAACTGCTTGCTGCAAATACTCCTTACCCCATGCTCATGAGAGAGGTGGAGAGCATTCACCTTAGGAGACTAGTCGTGTAAGGGGAAACCTGGCAAAGCCCAGGCTCTGTCCAAGCTGTCTGAGCGGTGCACAAGATCTACAAGCACAGAGACTGCAGGCTTCAGCCATTCTGTGAACATTAGGTACTCTGAAGAGAGAAACAGGTCCCAAAGAAACAGTCATCATGTGAGATTATCTTGGTGGTGTGCAAGACATAGTATTGGCTGTCGCAATGCATGGTACTTTAACAGCATAATGCCAGCCTAGTAGCAGGGACAGAGAGGTACATCCCCATTTATTTTTTCAGGCAATGCAAGCGAGCTCAGGAGAACCAGAGCTCTGGTGGAATCATCCTTCTTATCCCTCTCAGGTCCAGAGGTTCCCCTGAGTTACACTGCACTGTCTTACAAAGTTATGTCTGAACTCTCAAGCCTGCCTCTCCTTGCTCTTATCTACACCATCATCATCGTTTTTCATACATAAGAGGTTAGAAGAAAAGACAACATAGATCTTCCGAGATCACAGGAGATGTTACAAGTGTCAGAAATCAGACAAATAGAGAGAACAAGGGCATCTACTGCATCCTTCCTTCCCGTGCTGGCACTGCAAGACCACAGGAGCCTGGCTGCCACAGGATGTGCTCCCAGGACACTCAGCAAGTGGCACTTGGTGCAGCAGCCCGGGCCTGGACAAGCTGCTGTAGCTGGGCATGCTGGAGCAGCAGAAGTGGCTGCAGCACTTGCTCCCAGCAGGCCAGGGCACAGCCATTTGGGAACCACATTTTAAATGAGGAAAGTGCTAGTTTTAGCACAGTTATTTTCAGTTTGTTGTTAGAAAAACATTGTTCTCTAAAGAAATATGTTACCCTCCCTGCTAAAAGGACTCGAGCAGGACTCCCCAGGCATTTAGGCTGCACGTTCACACACATCCTTAAGCAAAGCCTCTGTGGTAACCGGCATGAAGGGTTCCGGCCTCAGTAAGAGAAATGGAGAGCTAGCTCTTGGGTAGGAAAGCACCCAAGAAGGATGTTTCAAGATACCACCGGCTTAAAAAAAGAGCTGCAGCTCTTTAAGCACCCGAGCGCTTCAACTGAAGGGTATAAAACCCTGCTGCTGACAGAGCCAGCGCTGGAGCCCTGGCAGCGATGCCTAAAAGGACATAAACCCTCCGGCTTCGCCCGCCCTCCCACACCGGAGCGGGTCGGCGCTCCCTCCTAGGCGCAAACCGCGAGGCTGCGCCGCCTGAGCCGCGGTCCCGGAGCAGCCGGGTTAGGGCCGAACCCGCCCTCAGCCGCGGGGAGCGGCAGCCGCAGCCCCGCCGAGCGGCAGCAAAGTTTGCGGCGCGGCGAGGGACGGCGAAGTTGGGCTCCCGCGGTGCCCGCCCGCGCCGGTTCTTACCTGGGTCGGCGGCCGCTGCGGCCCCCCCGCGCGGGGCGCTCGGCCTCCCGCGGCATCCTGCGCGGCCCCGGCGCCAAGCGGAGCGGTGCCCCGGCACGGAGCGGTGCCCGGCAGCCCGGCACGGAGCGGTGGCAGCCTCAGCCCAGCAGCGCAGCCCTCGCCGGCGGCGGAGAGCGGAGCCGGCTGCTGGCACCGGGCGGGCACGGCGCGAGGCGGGGCGCGGGCGATGCATGTGCGGCGAGAGCCGCCTTCCTCCCCCTCGCTTCCTCCGCTCCTTCCCCGCAGCCCAGCCCAGCCCAGCCCAGCCTCTGCTGGAGACTCTGAGAATGCAGCGCCGCTCCCCACCCGGGACCGGCCCCGCGCCCCCGGCCCTTGGCACCTCCCTAGGGACCAGCCGCGGGGACCCGCTCAAGGCTGGTGAGGCTGCGGTGTCTTTTGGGGATAGATAAATCCGGTCATGCAAGTCAGGGTTTAGTCACAGCTCAGGCGAACAGCCCCAGCAGGACATTTTCCAGTCTCCCTTTCCAGCGTTGCACATATCACCTGGAGAAAACGCTTGTCTGCTTCCACAAAAACCTCTAGTATTAGGCCTTAGAGTCTGGCCCTGGAAGGAACAAAGGGGATCACCATGTGTTGCTCCATGTGTGCAGCACCTTGCACGAGGCAAACAAAAGCTCTGCTTGGCCAGTACAGGCCAAGAAACAGTTGCTGCCCAGCAGCAGGTTGCTCACAAGCCACCTGGCTCTCGTGCTTCCTGCGCAGGTCAGGAAGAGGTGGAAACAAGACAGTGGTTCATGACCACAGCAGGAATTCAGGATGAGTGACTCCTTTTATGAACCAAGAGACGAGCAGGGCACAGATCCAGCACAGGCTCAGGCAGTTGTCCTCCCCACCTTTGCACCACCTGTCACAACTCCTACTACTGCATGACTTCCACCCTCAGAAGTCAATGGACTCTGAATAAGACCTAGGAAATGCTCCTTTTTAGTCCCTTCAGACATGGAAGCATCTAGAAATGTTTTTGATCCCAGTGTGAAAGCGAGAAATCTCCCAGCTGCAAGCACTGCTGCCAAAGTAGTTCCCACTTGTGCCTGATGCTCTCCTAGGGAAAGAAGCAAAGCCTGGAGCACAGCTGCTCCATCGCTAACACTGTCTGCAAACAGAGACCTTACTCAATGCCAATCTAGCGAGCCCTAGAGCAGCTGCTAGGCTCTTGTGCCAACACTGACACTGGCAACACCCAGATCCTTTCCCTGGGAGAGCCAAGGGGCTGCCTCACACACTGCAGGGGGAGCTGAGCCCACACGGCAGAAAGTATCCAGTGATGTGGTGTGATCCCAGGCGGAGATGGTTCCAGCCTTATCTGTACATGGGGTGCTCTTTTTCGATGTTTTTGCTAAGACCCCCTTACCCTGGAGCCAAGGAAGGTCTTGTGCCTTCTGCCATCATGCTCCTCCCCTGTGTCATAGCTGCTCCATGCCTGATCTAGTTGATGTCCCTCCTCATTGCAGGGAAAGGTTGGATTAGATAACCTCAAAAGGTCCCTTCCAACACAAACTATTTTGTGACTACAATTCTATCTCTCTTGCTACTGCCCTGCAAGGTGCTGGTAAAGCCAGCCATGCCTGTCCCAGCCCAGCTCTCACGTGAGCCCCAGAGAGCACTATAATAAGGCATTTTATGATAGTCCTTCCATGAGACCTGAAATCAGCAATGCTTCAGTGTATGCCCAGGTCACACAGTAGCACAGGCCATGAGCTGGCCTAAGCAGCATGAGAAAGAGGTGACGGAGGATGCAAAGCAGAACAAGACCCACCTATGGCATGGTCACTCCCTTTGTGACCGTGGCTGCCCCACACTTGAACACCAAACAGTCTCCACAGCTCCATCCCACAGCCTCTCTAAAGGTGACATGTCACTTTCATGTCATGCCTTCTATTTTCAGTGACAGAAGGATGGATGGGTTATTCTTTGACTTTGCTGCCATCCCTTTTATCTCCATGGGAATTTAGTCCTCATGTGGCTTCTCCTTTCCTCTCATTCCCATCTGTGCTTTATCCCTGCATTAAAATAGCTCTTTTGTATTTCTTAGCCCTCCTCTACCTGCAGCACTCTTCCCTCATTCTGATATACTCTCCCCACCTCATTGAGCTCCGGGCCCCATTGCTTTGTTCTCTCCCTATCCTTTCCTTTCTTTCTGTCAGTGCCTTGTTCCTTTTCTTGTTGTGATTTGTCTTCTTTGCTCTGTCCCCTTCACTCATCTATTCTCCTTATCTCTTTTTGCTCCTTCCTCTTCCTTTTCCCATTCTTTGCACACACCCCACCTTCCTCTGTGCGCCTTTGTCTGTAAGGAGTTGAAAGTTAAAAGCTTTTCCAACTTGATCCTGAGCAGCTTTCCCTTGTGCTTTCATCTCCACAACCCATTTGTAAAACTGCTCAGACTGAAGAGCCATGACATGAACAGCTAAAGAAATATCAGACAGAAACAGGACTCCCAACATGGGATGGAAATTTGCCTTCTGCAGGAAAATCTCCCTGGTACACTAGCACTGAGGTTCCCTCTCCACAATTCCTGTAAACACAACATAAAACCTGATGACCAAGATCTCATCTTCTTGGCCTCAGCCTCTTCCCACTGGTGCATTCAGTGCTGGGAGGGGTAGACACAGGGGTGCATGAAAGCTCCCCATCTCCTCCTGCCAAAACCTAGCTTGACCAACCTACTCTCCCACCCCTCTCACTAGCAGCTCCCCCCAGGTCTGTCATTGCTGCTTTATCACAAACTGCTAGCCAGAGGGAAGAGTTGAGCACCAGGAAAGGTGGTGTGGCTCTTGTCCTGTCCTGCTCCCAGCGCTTGATGCAAAGATCCTTGATGCAGAGACCTGGCAAACTCTCCCAGCTGATGTGTTGCCAACCTCCCAAAAGGAGTTCTTTCTTACGCTTTCTCACGTTTTGTGCTGGGCCCAGTACTGCTTGGGGCAGAGCAGCTGCAGACAGCGACTTAAGGACAATTCAGAGAAAAAGAGCCCTCAAGCCGCTGCTTTCTCGGTGCTTCTCCACAGCCTGTGCTCTGCAGGGCTCGTGTGTGAGCACAAAAGTACAGTCAGTCTTACCTGTGACCAGTGGCAGGGGATTAGAGTCACCAGTACAGATCTGTGCTGTGTTACATGGAGCAAATCAAAGTGCTGTCTGCTTACTTGGAAATCTGCTGCTGAGAATCCCATGAATTCTGGCTATTCTCACAACTCTATGAAAGATTAATCTTGCTAAATCCTCCTACTTCTTCCCTATCCGAGAAACAGATTCAACACAGGACAAGCTCTGTGACTCACCTTTCTTGGCAGAACCAGCTCCCATTAATCTAAGTCCCTGCCTAATGTCCAGATTTGGCTGGCAGGCAATCCATCTGCAGTCCAGCTCTCTGTCCAGGATCCAGCTCCCCTGTCAGTCAAAGCCCACCTAATGCTGTGTGCCCTGCAGGGACAGGGTGTAGTCTGCAGCCCACTGCCCAGGATGAAAGCAGGGGACAGAATCTTGGATGGATGGGTACTTGCTAGGCAATGCGGTGTCAGTCTTCAGTGGCAACTGAGCTCAGCGTCTGCCCATTCATTCTCTGTTTTCATTCTTTGACTATACCCCACCTTATCTCAGCAGAAAAATAGGAGATTCACATAGCTCAGTCCCACCAGTTTTGCTCTTCATGGGGTCCAGGATTTAGCCTGCTGCTCTCCAAGTTCACCCTAAAAGGAGCTGAACACTGAATGGTAACACTGGCAGAGAGGTTTTTGCTCCCAGAGCTGCAGCTCAGGATGCCATGAAGGCTGCATGGAAGCAAGTCCCCCTGCCAAACTCCCTGCAGAGGGTCCCTGGGTGTTCACATTTGCTCCTGCTGTGCTTAGCAGCCACCTCTGGCAAGCTGCATGTCCTTGCCTCACACCGCTTGTCTCTGGGGGATGCAATGTGGGATGATGCCACATTACATGCTCAAATTGCCTCCTACCTTTTCCTGTATGCTGCTCTGGCACAGCTCTAGTCCCACAAGACCCCACAGGCTAGGGAGACAGGCTAGCCCCACATGGCTTTCTTCATACCCCACAGCTACGGAGAGGCCTCTGCACCCCATTAAAAGGCCCAGCACTGTGGTTCCTGTTGAAGATAGGGACAAGAGCTGAAGGCAGCAATTCTGTGCTCACACAGGTTCTGCGGAGTTGGGAACATTCCTCAACGCACCGCAGACTGTGCATACACAAAGCCAGAGCTGACACAGCATGGTTGGAGGGGCACAGCCCAGTGCTCCCCTAAGTTTGCTGGGCACACATGGGCCACAAATCACAGTCTATTGCCCAGAACCATTTCTCACATTCCATCCCATTTACACCTGCCAGCCAAACAGCCCTGTCTTGTTGAGGCTCTTTGGTGGTGCCTTGAACCTTTTCCTAGGAGTATTCCCACTGTCCCACACATTTTGTCACTGCCTATTACCAAAGCCTAGCAGCTCCCTCCCGCAATCTTTATTCTCCCCAAGTACCGTGTCATTTGCAGACTCCACGGTGTCAGCCTTGTGATTAGATTCCAATGCCTTTATGAATAATTTGTTGTGCAATTATAAAGCAAATATTTAATTGAACTTTATGTAAAATTGCTTCTGCCTCTGAGCACTGAACCCTGGTTTGGGATAGGATGTCATCTGGCCACATCAGGCTGCAGGAGCCCCACAGAAAGGCAGCAACAAACCATCAGAGCCTGTGCCCAGCACACAAGGTGCTGGCCCTGGCCTCTCTGGCTGCGCCCACAGAGGGCACTGCTTGGATGGCTCCGCACTGCCCCCAGGAGCTGCCACGGAGCTGCGGGACTGCACTGCAGCTCCCTTCTCAGCTGAGCAGGAGAACAAAGCAGCAGAACAAACCAGTGCTACCCTGGAAGGGCCCAGCATGAATTATGTCACTGCAGAAAACACCTTTAGCGACAAGTTGTTGGCACACTGGCTTTCCTTCTTTCCAGTCCTTTTCCTTCCAGGACAAGACTGGAGTATGTAGGTGGGAAACCTGCACAACTGACTTTAAGGGAGGAATGCCTTAAAGTGAGCAAATGCCTTTGCTCACTGGAACGTCTTAACACAGGGCACTAACCTGAACTGATAAGAGCTTTGGTGCCAGGGTGCCCATCCTGGGAAAGGCTGCTCAGCACACACTAGGGCTGGTGGCCTGTGCAGAAATACTGTGAGCTGCAAGCTCAGCCGGAATAGTTTAAATGGAGGGGTCTGGACACACCTCAGACTGGCCATGGCATCACCTCTGTAGGGAAAAACATCTGTATCAGCAAACCCAACAGAACCGGGAGAAATCCCGATTTAGCATGGTCTGTAAAAAAGGCTGAAGTGCCTATTTCCAGTGAGGCGAATTTGAAATTGAAAGAGGAGAAAGAATGCATTGAAGAGATCAGAAGCTCATTTCCAAGTGTGTATCTGGTGCAGGTAATTGCTAACTGACCTGGAGGAGCTCTTGAAATCGACCTAATGCAGCAGATTTTGCTGCTCAGAGTGGCTGCAAGGCTGGGGACAGGCACCCACATGCAGTACCCCCAGATGAGGCAGGCATGGGGACAGGCTGCTGTGCAGCTTGGGGGCTAGCAAGAGAAATGGTGGCTCACCCCCTTTAAGTATCCTAAGCCTAGCCAGAGCCTGAACAGCTGGAAGAAAGGGCCTCGCTAGCTGTTGGAACCTGGAAACTTACCCTGGTATGGGGCAGGCCTATTTGCAGTGATGGGGGAAGGCAGGCTTGGAGCCCAGCCTGGAGAGGCTATGCCCACACACTGGGAAGCGATGGATGGGAAGTCTGCTCAGATGAGCTCCATAGCTGAGGCACTGGATCTGGACAATGGGGTGGGAGGTAGAGTCCCTGCTCCAGTGCTGAAGGGTGCAGAAATGTCACGTACCCTGATGAGAGAAGTGCATCGTTAGTGATTTCTCTGCACAGACCATAGTAAAGAACAGCAGTTTCCTGTGGGGGCCTGGAGATATTCCCTTCCCCAGCAGCACTTTCCTGCCTCTCAGCTCAGCTTGGGCAGTCCCTTTCACTCAGCTCTTGCTTTTACGGCTACAGATGAAGCAGCACAACTTACCCTTTGGCTCCCAGCCACATGCTCCCTGCTGCCAGCTCACCCCAGGACCAGGTCCATTAGCTGTTGTCTCTGGCAGCTCCTCCTGCTTTCCAGCCCTTATTGCTTTTCACTCACAAGCGTTAAAGGTTCCTCTCAAGATGCACCTTTCTGCTTCCCCTGCAATCCAGGCATTTCTTTAATAAATAGCATTTGTACTGGCTCTGTGATGTCTATTTGGCTTCAAGCTTTCATCTCCACTGCTGGTTGTGCCCAGCATGAAATGCTGCCACTCAGCCTATAAAAATTAATGGTTGGGGCAGTTATTTGTAGCAGTCGTTCAGCATTTGCCTTGCTGGTCCAGTCCCAGACTATAGCCTGAAGACAGCACAATGGCAAGTGTTTGTTTCTGCTTGTGGGCAGGCAGACAGTGTGACTGAGAGGTGAGCCAGAGAGAATGACCCTCTGCTGTGGGCCGTGCTCCCCAAGTGCCTGTCAGTGGCACAGGCACTCATCCCAAGTTATTTGCTCCCAAGACCTACAGCTAGATGCACATCTCACCACCCAGGCATGCAAGAGAGTGGATAACTGAAACTATGCCCTAGATATGCAATATAACAAACCAGAGCAAAGAAAATGGAGGAAAGGCAGAGGTCTGGGATGCATGCAAGGGGCCCAGCTAGATGGTAAGCTTAGGATAGGGTTAACTGGCAGAAGAAGCATGATACATCCCCCTTTGTCATTCTCTCTAGTAAACACACAGGCATGCTCTCACACACACAGTATCTCTTCTGTGGCCTTGAGATCAGCCAAGAGCAGAGAGAAACAGATCTCAAAGCAATTGTAATCTTCCCGTAACAATGACAGGAGAAGCGTGTTGCAGTGCAAAACACAATCTGGCTGCAAAAGGCTATGGAGAGTATGTAAGATGGAAAATAGTTGTTTCTGGCACTAGGATGGTCTTTGGACTCGCATTCCAGAAAGACAGAGTGATCTGACTACCTCTGGAATACACTAGCACTGATACCAGCACTCTGAAGGGTATGTGATCTGGACTGAGAAGACCACCATAACATGGTTGGAAAGGATCAGCAAAGTCCTCCTACATGGAAGGAAAAGGAAGCCCTGTCCAGAAGCCTGCATCTGAAAGGTGCAGCATCACACTCAGCTCTGCTTATCTTTCATCATGCCCAGTCTGCTCTGACTCAAATCTTCCTCAGCCACCACTGCTATTAGACCCACTGCTTTTAACAAACGTGCATATCCAGTCAATCCCCCAGCTTCCTTCATCCCTCTGGCAGCCCCTGTTGTACTGAATTCTCTTTAAAGTTCTGCTTTCCTTGTGCCATTTATTGTTCTGCTGTTGCCCGTAGCAGGCTTCTCTGTGTACATGATAAGCTTCTACAGCTTTTCCAAAGTGCAACTGCAGGAATCAACCTCCCAAAAGACATGTAAGTGAATCATGTTGAGCTCCTCTCACTGTTACCAGGATCCAGAGCATGATCTTAACTCTCTAAAAATCAGTATTTTCAAGTGGTGCAATTGTGTCCTCCCTACTGTTTTTCAAGTGGCCCAGTATATAATACTTTTAGAATAGATTCAAACATAGTCCATCACACCCTTTATGCACAGTAACTAAGTATTCACTTGTTTAACTGTTGTACGCCTGCCTTTCCTTCTTCCAGGGATTCCATCCTCCTAACCTACCTTGAAATTGTCTTTGCAGGCTTTTACAAGGATATGATTTAGGGCCATGTTTGTTGTAACCGAGAGCTTTTGGGGAAATACTACTTTCTGTAGGTGCACCCACCATATCCATTGCCAGTGATGGTTTTTCCTCTCCAGTGGGTGCTCCTCTGAATGGGCAGAGGAGTTCTCTTGCCCAGCAGACTTTTGTTATTGCAGCTTCTGGCCCTTGTGCATCCACTTGCCTTTCCTTTTATGCTGTATGCAGAATTCCACAGATGAGTATGTTCTCACAGATCCTCAGCTCCAAGAGTTTTAATGCAGGTCTTTAATTCTGTCACATATTGATCGACTGTTTCTGCTTGCATTAAAAGGATTGGAAATGTTAATATGATTCATTGTTTTGTGGCATATGCAACCACATTTTGTCATGTTTACATTTTCTCTTACACATTCTTTTCCTCCTCCCACCCAAAGCAGAGACTGGTGCTTTTGTGTTAATGCTTCTTTCATCTGCACTAATTGCTAAGTGGGTCTCAAATTGCCTGACAGTTTCCGTTCTCTACTGCACCCCA